CCCCCTCTGTTGCTACTGATTTGATTTTACTGTCCTCTTTTATTCTTCTACATTTCTATATACAAAAATGGTACAAAAAGGTAGGCGCGAACTATATCTCTAGTCATCTTTCTCCTCGTCTTCATCATAGTTGAAAGGCAAAGGCACTGACTTGAAAGCTCTATATTTGCCAACATTGTTGAGGTGTTCATTCTCCAGTCTACATTATAGGATAAATGATAATAAGACTAAGCACCCTTAGTTTAATTACATTGAACTTCATCAGTAAACTACAAAATATAATTTTAACATGTGATGAGCTTTTGTATGACCCAAGTACCTGAAGAAGTTCCATATACCACGACGAATTATCTCAAGAGAAGCCACAAGTGTAATCATCGTCTGCCTGTGAAGTGAAAAAACCGTAACATTCATCACGGTTTGCATCCACGCCAGTCTCAATAGCACATTCAAAACCTGCACCCAACCAATAAATAAATAAATGAACAAAAAAACAAAAAAAAATTAGAATCGTTGGCTAAAATTGTCCGTAAAACTCACCATGGCCACAAAGTAAACAATTTTGTGAGGGATAAGCAGTTTATCTCTCAAAAACCGGTTTTTGGAGTGCCATTGGAAAAGCCCCCAATCGATAACAATGTCCCAATACGTGCTAAGGACTGTGGCAAAAATCGATGTTATCAAGGCCGTCAGCCTCCACGCAAAACTCCTGTTGAGAGTATAGGCTGTTCGTGTGCTAACTGCAACTATTGTCGACAAGTACTTCAACCCGTTGTACCCATGCCTCGGGTCTTTCTCTTCCAAAACCCGCCTCACACACTACAAAAATTTGATTGGTTTTTTAGTTAACCATAGTTAATTTTGAAAAAGGTAGTATGGTTAGTTGTTAGTAGGAATTTAAGTTTAAATTAAAATAATATTTAAAAATAAAATAATTAAAGTTGATTTGATGTAAAATTAGAATAAAAATGATTGTGAGTGGTGGTTAGTTAAAAGTATGTGAGTGGATGAATAGTGAATTAAAGTGGATGTGATCTGTAAGAATGATTGATTGGTTGATATTATTTAATTATATTAATAATATTGAGGATAGTGAAGTTGAATTAAATTTGAGTTTTGATTGGTTTTTATTGGTGAAATTTATATCCAATCACACCCTAAAATACCGTGATGCTTGATTCATTTAGTCTCGTCTCGATTTTTGTGTTGAGGGATATTGCTGATTTTTAACGATGAGTGGTTCATAAATAGGCTAAATTTCGAGTCGAGTAAAATGACTATGAGTTTGATTTATGCACCTGAAGGAGGCGCCAATAGTACGGTATTGCGGCCACAATGTAAGAGAAAGTCTTGAAAACATCGCTCTCTCGACAACTGTTTTCCCTCATTTTGTAATCACCCCAACCATAGTAGCAAATGTAAAACTCTAAACTCCTCAGAGCTTGAACCTGAATTAAAGATTTTGTCACACAGTTATTTTCTGCATTGTTTTATAGCTATTTAATCGGAAAACTGATGATCTTTTTACAACAGATAAAATTGAAGGTACAAACCTGGCTTGTAAGCTGATCAGCTAAGAAGAAGTCCGGTAATGATACCTGCAATGACATATACCCAAATTTTGTAACAGCAAAATATCACCAGTTCCCTAAAATTTTCAGGATAATTGTAAAACTACCCCTGAGGTTTGGTCTAATTACAAAAGGCTAGTTATTTTCTGCACATAACTAAAGTTAATGATGAAAATGTGGTTACCTTATAAAGAGGAGCTAAAACACAATGAAACAAGCAGACAAGTAAGAAGAAGCGACTCGAACGGTATAAGATGTTTAGAGGGCAAAGCATAATCAGAATCACAAGCTGCCAAAAAAGAGTGATTCCAAATTAAATATATAATGTAGACTTTAAAAAAAAAAATGTTAACAAGAAAATAAATTATGATTTGAAATTATTTCGTACCACTACTAATCCGAGAGGAACGAGCTCGGTTATGCCTCTATAGTCCTTTGTAACGGGATCCATTTCCATATCAAGATTGGCTAACACACCGGCTAAAGCCAGCACACTTAAGCCAAAACCGAGAAGCAAAATCTCTCGATAGCCAAGTTCAGTTCCTTCTTTAAAACCGAATATGAAGGTGTAATTGACTCGATACCTCCTCCAGAAGTATATGTTTGCAGCATACATCAGCATGTGCAGAACAATGAACCCGAACAAGCTGTAATTATATTTCGTTTATTATAAGCTGTAATTACAATTTTTTTTTTTCTAATTCGACTTAATTAGGATTTTTACCTGTAAAGAGGAAACATAGTTTCCATGTACAATACTCTCCCTTCATTATCTAAGATATTACGTGCGCGAATTATCAAAATTAGCGCCACTATAAGTGCAATGGAGCAGCCAACAAGAAATCCTGCAAAATATATTTTAAGTAAAACGATTACAAAATGTAAACAAGAGAGCCTCATAAAACAACACTTTAGCTAATTTGATAGATTACAGAAAAAATGGACTATAATATTGTCTTTACCCATAAAGAAGGTAATTCTATGCTTTTCCCTCTTCTTTTTTGGCCTCAAAATATTCATCCCTTTACTACGGTTCGAGTTGGAAAAGTGTTTGATGAAAGTTGCCTCTACCCTTTCCATCAATTTGCTGACCTATAAATAGTAATAACAAAAAATACAAAACTCTTATAAAACCACTTTTTGTTTTGGTAATTTTATTATATGACTCTTTGTGCAGAACATATGCTGAGCATAAAACCTCACCTCATCCGAGCTGCTGAGATAGGAATTATCAACCATTTTCATGTAAGGTTTTGATGCACTTCTTGAAGCAATCTGCGAATGAGTTTAAGACAAGGACATTTGATATAAAAATATTAAATGACAAAATGAGGTTTGCATAATAGAAAATTTTCATGATTTACCTTATCGTACTTTTTCAAGATTTTCGAGAGTGCCAGAATATTGAGGAAACTGTTACATGATACAAAAACAATCAGTAATCACAACACCATGAAAAAACAATGCATCGGAAAAGAACTAAACTTTCGCGAACTAAACGTTTTCTTTCTTTTCTTTTTTTTGTTTGTGATTTTTTTTTTTTTCGGGCTAACCTGTAGCTTTTCAAAAGCCTCAGCTTGTGGTAGAATTCGACAAATGCCTTCTTAAGTTGTTCCTCTGCTTTCCTCAAATTATCCTTACGGAACTTAAGTTCTGTTTGGTTGGGAAGATTGAGAAAACCTTTGATTGTCGATCGAGGTGTTTCCTTTGAGGTGTTGAACTTCACATGCTCGAGTATCTCCACAGGTGCTAGCTCAATAAATTCAGTTTGATCATTTACTCGATTTTCCAAATTAATATCACTCGGTTTTTCTTCTAACTGCCCCTCATTAGTTGAAATATCTTCATCTATAACATTCATTCGAATTCTTCCTGAAAAAATTTGATAGTTGTTTTTCATCATACACTAGTCAATGAAGTTACAAATGCAAGAAAACACGAATAGTATTACGAAACAACTCATAAGTATATCGGCAAAACCAACTCCCGAAAAAAATCTCTAGAATTTTTTTATAAATAACTATATCACAAAATATGTATAAAAAAAAGCATAGATAGGAAATTTCAACCAATGAAAAATCATAATCACAATGTGCATAGAAAGGGAAAAACAAAATCTTGACTTCAATCTTGAGTGGCACCAAATTGAACCAAAAATGCAAAAAACAACGATATGCAGAAAAAAAGTTCCATCATTAATTTTTCTTAGCCTATTATTTTGTTCAAACCAATATATCAACGGGGTCAGACCTGGAAACTAAAATT